CTTGAGCTTCGGAGCCCTTACGCCGGGTTCTCCCCGGAGCTTCTCTTCTCCTTCCGTTTCAGGTCCCTGTTACTCAGTTCAGAGGCAAGATCATTAACAGCTAAGACCGGCCAGATTGTGCATCATCAATGAGTATGTATTAATCCGGATCCAATGAAATCTCTCTCTCTCTCATCTATTTTTGGTTTTAAATTTCTGGGTACCCTCATCTGCATGCATGCGTTTTTCCGCGTAATTTTTTTCACCATGAACATTATCCACCGTTGCAGCAAAAAGGGAAAAAAAATCATCTGGTAGTAGAAAGTTTGGCGTCTATATAAAGACGAAAGTGTTAGAGCATTTGGTGAAATCGAAATCAGACGAAGAAGATGCAGAAAGCGTGGTTCTTTGAAGAGTATGGTCCCAAGGAAGTCCTCAAGCTGGGGGACTTCCCGCTTCCTATTCTTCAGCCTAACCAATTACTTGTTCAAGTTCGTGCTGCTGCTTTGAATCCAATCGATTTCAAGAGACGCCAACGACCCATCTTCCCTTCAGACTTCCCTGTAAGTGAGGAAACACGAGAATGTGTGGAGAGAGAGAGAGAGAGAGTTGCATCAAATACTGTAAATTTTGAATATTCAATGGTCTGGTGAGGATCCCCATATCCATGGTCCAACATACATATAAGTAGGCGAATAATGGAGTACTCTCCGATTTGATGATGTCATTGCTGCTTGGTCAATGAATAATCTAAAAAACATTGTTATATCCGACTAATAACGATGATTTAACATGTTGTTGCAGGTTGTTCCCGGCTGTGACATGGCCGGAGTGGTGGTCGGCAAGGGTGAAGGTGTCATGAAATTTAGTATTGGTGATGAGGTTTATGGAAACATCCAGGATTTCAATGCTGAAGGGAAGTTGAAGCAGCTCGGAACGTTGGCGGAGTATGTTGCCGTGGAAGAGACCTTGGTTGCACTGAAGCCCTCAAACCTTTCCTTCGAGGAGGCAGCCAGCTTACCATTAGCAGTTCAGACTGCAATCGAAGGATTCATAACCGCTGGTTTCAAGGAGGGACAGTCCATTTTCATAGTTGGTGGAGCCGGCGGAGTTGGAACCTTGGCTGTTCAGCTGGCCAAGCACGTCTATGGCGCTTCTCGGGTGGTAGCGTCGTGCAGCGCCCCAAAGGTGGAGTTCGTCAAGAGCCTGGGCGCTGACCTAGTCATCGACTACACAAAGACCAAATATGAAGAAATTCAGGAAAAATATGATTTCCTTTACGACACCATTGGTATGATCGATTTCGCTTAATTACTAAATCTTTTATTTTTCTTCAGACTTGTTTATGATTGATTTAAGTAAATGGGTTTTCTACTGCTCTCTTCGTCTTCAGGAGACACTAAGAATTCCTTCGTTGTGGCGAAGGATGGAGCACCGATTGTGGATATAACATGGCCTCCATCACACCCCAGAGCAGTATATTCGAGCTTGACTGTTTGCGGGAAGAATCTAGAGAGCCTTTGGCCATATCTAGAGAGCGGGAAGCTCAAGGCCGTGCTCGACCCAACTGGTCCTTATCGTTTCACTGATGTGATCGAAGCTTTCCGATACCTTGAAACTGGTAGAGCCAGAGGAAAAGTCATCATCATCATCTCTCCATCAGCTCTTCCCTCCCTTGTTCCATGTGATCAGACCAACAAAACTATTACACCTGAAATGATGCCTCAGCTTCAGGAGATGGCTGTTCATTGATCCACATGATAATTCAGATCATCACAAATTATAAAACGTATATATATATATATATATATATATGTTCTGTACTCGAGCATGATATCTAGCTAGATGTTAATTTAATTTCCTGGTTATAATAAGAAGTATATATAGAATTGAATGTTTTCATCATATCTTATATATTTTGGATAAAGTGTCTATTGGCCATTTGTTAGGATGTCGATCATCGGGTATATATGGATACCATTTGTAAGCTAAGATAATTATCCAACGAGGGCACCTTTGTCTCTCCTACACCAACCGGCCCAAACAGATAGTCACAACCAACTCACCTATTAGTCAAAATAATGTAGTCTCCTTCCTTCCCCCACTGATTCCGATGCCTTAATTTGATGATCTTTAAAAAAAAACACTCTGGCCAATGTTTAGGGATAACATTGAGAAGGCTATCAAGGCATTCTATCATTTATGAGAAAATGACTAGAGAATATTTATGGATCAGTGAGAGCCTCTCTCAGGATAAGTTTAGATGAATATGTCTGTGTAATGTAATTTATAAAATAAATGCAAAGATTCTTGATGATTTTTTGTCAATAAGATTAAGATTTTATCTTGGGAGCATTAATCCTCCTTCAAGGTGAATGATGTGGAACACACGTATGATGGAATAAATGGGAACTTATTGCCATAGTCCTAAAAAGTAAAAACAATTGTATTATGATCAAGGAGTGGGTAAATTGGGTAATGGAGTGCAAAGTCAAATACTCATAAATGGATCCCCAACCAAATTAAAGCTTCAAACCCATTGAGGGCCCTCTCTCCTTGCATTTTTGTCCACTATTCTGAAGGCACTACCAAGACAATTTATCACTACTTTTGAGGACAAAAAAGTAATTTTCGATGTAAAACCCCTAGGCATGGCCCACAGATTTGTACAAAACAAATTTGCTAAGGCTTAGCTTGGAAAGAATACAAAACAAATTTGTACAGTACAAATACATACAAAATATAATTGGGTAAGCACTCTACAAGTTTGTATTTGTACTCCTTCCAAAGAGTACAAAGCTGCATACCATCACTGTTGTGTTAACAATCACCCAAATCATCACCAAATTTGTCAAACCATTGGGTAAGCACCCCAGTCTTTTTAATCTTCCTTGCTACAAAGCTCAAAAAAATCTCACTAAATTTCTCAAAATTCAGTTTGGAAGGAGTACAAATACATACAAAATGTAAGGTTTTGTACTCTACATATTTGTATTTGTACTCCTTCTAAACTGAGCTTAAGACTCAAAAAATGGAAATCTATCTAGGAGCTAGGGGTGTCAATTGGATTGGATTGGGTCCAACCCAATCCAGTCCAATGTGAGTCCATTACAAATGGACCAGGTCCAACCCAATGAATAATTTGGACCATTTTGAATGGTCCAATTCAATGTTTGGACCGTCCAATTTGTTCAAATTCATTTTTGTTTAGATCGGTTTCAACCCAAACCCGGTTCATTGACACCTATATTCTTATCTTATATCAATGGATGGACCGGATATTGGCTTAATCCAACCAAATCTAATATAAGTTTATTATGGACAGACCAGGCCCAGTCCAATCTAATAAATATTTTGGACCAGATTCGTCCAATCCACTATGTCCTTTTTGGTCCGTTCAATCCATCCAAATTGATTTTGGACTAGACGGGGTCTAATTCAAAACCGGTCCCTTGACATCCTTACTTGGAGCTCTAATTATTGATGGGAGGTTGAGTAAAAAGACTTACAGATAGTTGTTGAAGAAAGAATTCATAGTAAACTATTGAGTTGAGATAGAATTCGCTCTTAATGGTTGGTAGAATAACACTTAAGTCCACAATTGACATGGTTCCTCAATTTCTTAGAAGGTGTGTTTAAATTTCTAAAGAACTCACATGAGAGCATTGAAAGTTGAAAAGAAAAGGCTTACTCTTTGGGGAAAAAGTGAGAGAAAAAAAAATATTATCACCTCAGTGGCATGGAAGAAATTCTGTGGCCATATTAATAGCGGGTCTTGGATTCAAAAAATGGAATGGATTTATCTAGCTATTCTAGCAAAGCTTGGATATGGAAAGTTTTGAGTTAGTGTAGTAATGTTTAGGCTCAAGTTGTTAGTAATAAATATTTGTCTAAGAGAGAATTGTGTGCCAATTTCTGGTTCAATTGCCTTTGAAATTTACATATTAGCATTTCTGGTTCATAGGGGGTCATATTAGCATTTCGTTGAATAAATTGTGTGCCAATTTCTGGTTCAATTGCCTTTGAAATTTACATATTAGCATTTCTGATTCATAGGGGGTCATATTAGCATTTCGTTGAATAAGTTGTGTGCCAATTTCTGGTTCAATTGCCTGTTGTTTGAAATTTGAGATCAAATCATCCCCGCACAAGATTGTCCCTCCACAATGTCCCACAATACATTCTCGCTATGTATTGGAAACATCTCCCGATGATAATACAAAAAATGATGATGTCATCATTGGGAGATGTTCCCAATACACGGCGAGGATGTGCTATGAGACGTTGTAGGGGGCTGATTTGAACTCTTATATTGGGAACATCTCCTGTTGATGATACCAGAAATGATGATATCATCATCAGGACATATTCTCAATACATGGTGGGAATGTGCTACTTGTACTATTACAAGCTTTGGTATCTAATTAAACATCAGTTGGAGGAGAAACCACATCTGTGCCCCACATGCACATCTCAGCTTGCAATTGGGAACATCTCCCAAAATTGTTAGTGGGAGATGTTCCCAAAACACGAACAGGATATGCTATGGGGCATTTGTGAGGCGCAGATGTGAATCCGTTGGAGGAAGGTCTGTGATCAATAATAGTATTCATTGTTACATCACGGAAGAAGTGACAATGCCGAACCCACCGTTTTTCCATTTGGCCTAAATATCGAAACGACTTTCTTGGGAACAACCTCTAGAGCTTGCTTAGTGGGAGCTTTCTCGTTCATAGTGTTTCCTCCATGTGATTTCACCAAATCTGTCTCTTTAAAGTTTCTTTCACTGTTTTCTTCTTCAAACAAAGAAATAAATAAATAATCTTTGCTACATATGGAAAAATAGAAACAACAAAATTTATGACAGTGCAATTACCACTCCTCCCAAGTCCCATCATTATCGTGGGATGGGTGAATTTGGGCAATTGCCTTCCTTTCTCTGGCACTTGCCTACTTTTCATTATACTCACTGAGTATTTTGAACGAAATTCTGCCTTTTTGTTATAAGTGATCACTTTTTCGTGCCATCAAGCCTTTACCAATTCTGTAACATGCCATCAGAGTGCCATAAAGTGTGTATTGGGTGGGGTTATAAAGTGTGTATTGGGTGGGGTTATGCATTTATTTTGTATGGGAGTGTCCTTGGCAATATTGTAATTAGGCAATATGATTTTTCAATATTTTGACGTAATCTTTTGTCAAAACACAAAAATCTTAAGCTATTCTTTGAGGGGAGGTAGGTAATTAAGTGGTGCCATGATCATGTAAAGGTTAAGCATGAGATCCTCTTGACACAAACTTGTGTTATTGTGCTTGCCATCTATTGCAATATAAAGTGCCTTTTTACTAATTCGTGTGCAATCTTTGTTGTCTTTTGTGTGTTATTGCTTGATTTCATAAGCTTACTCGACCCAATCGAGTGTCGCACGGGACTTCGCCGACTGGCCCCGTGACAGTTGGTATCAAACAGGAGCTCATTCCTAGCCATTTGACCCGCGATGCGAGTGACACCATAAAGTACAACAAGGACATCATGGAGGAGATTGAACATGGATTCTCCCCATCCCATGAAACTGACGATGCAACCGCCAATGACACAATCAAGGTCAAAGCACTGAAGACCCGTACATCAAAGGCAAGCAAGTGTGAGAAATCCACGAACAAGCATTCTGTTATCGACCTACGGGTGCTACGCTGTGAAGCCATTATGGGCGAGATGTGTGACCGAGTAGACGAGCTCCACCAAAATGTTGAAGCCATCGAGAGTGCAGTGATAGAGGTGGAAGGCCACATGAGTGGTAATGTCGATGAGGTCCATGACATGCTCAATTGAACACTCAAGGATGTTTGCAGCACTGCACGCCAACAAGAAGGAGGCTCGTCCCACTTCAACATTCAAGACAACCTAGACAACTTCCAGGCCCAACTCGATGAAATGAGAAACGAGTGAGCAACATGGAGGAGAGTCATGTCCTCCCCAATGGCCATTCAGGCCCAGTTAAATGAAATGAAAGCGGAGTGGGCAGCCATGAAGTCAGACGCGTGTTCCTCCTCCAACGTCCAAGCTCAATTGGATGAACTCAAGGCCGAGTGTGCAATCTTGAAGAGGGCCATTACCAATCCAGCTAGCACCTCTTTTGTGCACACTCCTTTCCACCTAAAGATTAGGGAAACAACTCCCTATTCTGGTGCACGCAATGCATGGGAGCTTAACAACTTCCTGTGGCAAATGGAGCAATACCTTGCCACAGCCAATGTGAATGATGAAACAACTCAAGTATGTACAACTACCATATATTTGACTAATGTCGTTATATTGTGGTGGCGCAGAAGATGTGTTGACATGGAATGTGGTATATGTGCCATTCATACATGAACTGACTTCAAGTGGGAGTTGAAGAGACAGTTCTACCCAGAGAACATGGTATGCATGTATTTTGTATGGGGGGATGCCCTTGGCAATATTGTAATTAGGCAGTATGATTTTTCAATATTTTGATGTAATCTTTTGTCAGAGCACCAAAATCTTAAATTACTCTTTGAAGGGAGGTAGGTAGTTGAGTGGTTTCAAGACTATGTAAATGTTAAGCATGAGGTCCCCTCAACACAAACTTGTGTGCTTGTGCTTGCCATCTATTGCAATATAAAGTGTCTTTTTACTAATTCATGTGCCATTTTTGTTGCCTTTTGTGTGTTATTGCTTGCTTTCATAGGCTTACTCGACCCAATCAAGTGCTGCACGGGGCCTCACCAACTAGCCTCGTGACATTTTGGCAAAAAAAAAAAAGTAATCCAATTAAGATTTAACTTTGAGGCTTCGAGGGGGGGATTGACAAAAAAGTGTGCAATTGGTTGTTTTGTTTAGATGCAGTAATAATTCTAAACTTGAAGTTGGAATCTATTGGTTATGCTATATTCGTGCATGAAGCCAAAAAGACATGATACTGGATAAATTTATAACCAATCAGCAGGCATCATAAAATTGGTGATAAACATGGTCAGTCAAAGCCTTTCCGGTATCATGTCTTTGTGACATCATACACGTTTCTATGCTACTATAAACATGGTCAAAGTATTGGCAATTTATAAAGCCCATGTATTAGCTAACACAGTAAGTGCTTGGCATTGATGTCATTGCTTCAGAGTCATTTTCTGAGAAAATGGTGCTGTATGGATGAGGGGCCTTCTTTTTTGTTTGTCATCCATGATATCACAAAAACATAGGATGTTTTATGAGGAAACAATACTGGTTTTGTTTGGTACCAGTTCTATATAATTGTTTTCATCATTGGTCTACATTATCCAGCACTTCAGGTGATGTCACACATTGGTGCCACATCATTGTACCATTGGCAACAATGGTTCCAAAAATGAGAAAATATGAAATTTGATGTTGCCTCAAACCATGCCTTCTCGATTTCCAAGGAATGGTCTGGAGCAACATTAGAAAAAAAAAAAAAAAAAAAAAAAAAAAAAAAAAAAAAAAAACAGAATCAAACATGTCCCTATTTTTTAGTGCAACATTTTTCTGATGCGACTATTTTTTGGGGCAACGGCATCGATGCCAAACACCGCTAAAAATTTGAAAGCAGAAGGATCTTAATTAAAGAAGACTCAAGACTTAAAAAGAAGGTTGAACCCACTCAGAGAACGAATAATTTCACTGGAGAATGTTTCAATATTTGTGGGAACTGTGATCTTAATGTTATGTACTCTCAGATCTCTCATGTTTTGCCCCATATTTCGAATGTAGTTGTCCCATATTATGGGGGTGAGTTACTAATACATATCGAAGCAAGGCCCTTGCAATGAATGAATGAAGCCAGTGCCTACATGTCAAGTGTTTGATGTTTTTCTGCTCTTTTGCTACTCGTCTCTCGTTGTCATGTCATGTATGAGCCTGTTATCCTTGTTTATGAATAAATTTCTATTACAAAAAATTCAAAATATGTTCAGGGGTTGGTTAAAGGCCTGGTTACCCCCTGAAACGGGTCTTACTCCGAAATTCATTATATTTTGTAGGATAAATTTCTTAAACTATCATTATAGTTTAATTAATTGATTAAGTGTAGTTTGAAAATTGATTAAGTATATCCTTACAATTTCTAACCATTGACTAAGTGTATCCTTAACCGTTAAATATGGATGGAAAAAATTAAATACCCATTTTACCCCCCCCCCCTCTATGTAAAATTACATTTTTGTCCCTAATTTTAATTAACTCCTCTTCGACACTCACCCCATCTGTCGAAAGAGAAGAGGGAAGAGCGCCTTCCATCCACAGCGGTCGCTGCGACTGGAGGACAGCTTTCCAACATTTCATGACTTTCCTATGGGCGCCATTTAATGGCTTCCCTGTACCGATATAATACATACATATATAAAAAAATTCAGAAAGCCAGAGTATGCTTTCATTAAGCCAAGAAATTGAATTTATGGTGAAGCTCGTTTTAGTAGCTTCCTTCAAAATGCCTCACTGAAACATCAAAACTGAAGCCCTTTCAAACGGATACAACAGTAATGGTGCTGATTGAAGGTAAGCTATATGGACTAGCGTGGACAGAGCAATGTTTGGGCAGTCAAAAGTTTTATTGGATAAAGCTTCGGAAATTTAAAAATGTTTTTAGAAGTTAAGGACTGAATCCGGATAATATTGTCCAAATTTCTGAAATTTTAAACCTAGGATCTTTTGTGTATCAAAAAATTTTAAAATTAAAAACTTTGGTTCCTTGGCTGTGTTTGATTTGATAGGAAATAAGAGAGAAATAGAAAAGTAGGGGAAAATACTCAAAAAAATTCACAAACTTTGCTAAGAAATTTTAACTTTATTTTTCTGTCTTACTTTCATTAAACCAAGCATAGCCTGAGAGGTTCAGTTAAATGTCCAACTTAATGGTAAGTTGAGTTTAAATTAAAAAAGTTAAAAACCTTAAAAGGTAAAAAGGTAAAACAAAGCCCTAATCGTATTCGTATTGGGCAAGGGTGTAAGAGTTTCCACCCCATCCCTTGTAAATGTCAAATATGGGATTTGGATTCAAATTTAATTCGTTTATATTCATAAATAAAATAAATTAAAAATTATATTTTATCAATAAATATTAATTAAAAAATTACTTACATGAAAGTCTAGGAGATATGAAAATTTAGTAATCAGTTAGTCAGCCCATCAATCATCAAGCACCATCTAAGGAACCACGAACTCCTAATCTGTCTTGCCACCATATCTACTCTGCATGACCGTAGCAGCAGACAGATTATTTCATTCAAACATTTCTTTCTCTTTAAATTAATATCATTTCCTGTGGGCGAAGCGATAAGCGATGATGTAATCTGTATTCAATGACTAACTTTTTGTCTTTCACACACACAAACATATCTAAGAGCTTGAACATGAATTCGAACTCCATTCCTCGACATCTTTCTCGCCCAATTAGTTATTGAGAGATGGATTTCTTCTCTGCTTTTCTCACTGTTGCATCAGCTGCTCTGTTTCTCCTCTTCATAAGCTTCTGCGCGTTACTACTGAAAATCTTCATGGGAAAGTCGGTCATGGACCCTCGGTACGCCCCAGTTAAGGGCACCATCTTCGATCAGCTCCTGTATTTCAATAGGCTATACGACTACCAGACCCAAGTAGCACGCACACATCAAACTTTCCGTCTCCTCGCTCCGTCACACAGTGAGATCTACACGACAGACCCACGAAATATCGAGTACGTACTCAAGACCAACTTTGATAAATACTCCAAAGGCCAGTACAATCAAGACATAGTCACAGACCTCGTTGGCCACGGTATCTTTGCCGTCGATGGCGATAGATGGCGTCAACAGCGAAAGCTTGCAAGCTTCGAATTCTCTACCAGGGTTCTGAGGGATTTTAGCTCTGCTGTTTTCAGAAGAAACGCTGCCAAATTATCTCGGATTATCCTGGAATTTTCCATCACAAACCAGACGTTCGACATTCAAGTAAATAACCCATTAATCACAAACAAACATATATAATTAATTGATCTATGAAATGAAAGAATGGTTTTCAGTCTTTAACGAATTGAAGAATATTGATACTGATACATATATTCTCGTTCTATTGCAGGATTTACTGATGAGATGCACTTTGGATTCCATATTCAAAGTTGGGTTCGGGATGGACTTGGATTGCTTGGGGGGATTAAGCAAGCAAGGAGGTTCGTTCATAAAAGCATTTGATGAATCGAATGAGTTGGTCTGTTGGCGATATGCCGATCCCTTGTGGAAGGTGAAGAGGTTTCTTAATATGGGGTCGGAAGCCAAACTCAAGAAGACCATAAAAATCATTGACGATTTGATCTACGAGCTAATCCAAAGCAAGAGGAAGCAGCTTTCTGTAAAAGGAGACTCTATAACTGTAAGTAAGCTGCCAGGATTCCATTTTCACTTGTCAAATATCAATTACTTAGTATTTAGATGGTCCTCATTTCCATTAATCAAAGCTGTTGGATTGGTAGAACGAAAAGGAGGACATACTTTCGAGGTTTATTGTGGAAAGTGAGAAGGATCCCAAGACCATGAACGATCAATATCTCAGAGACATAATTCTGAACTTCATGTTTGCCGGTAAAGACACAACTGCCAACACCCTCTCATGGTTCTTGTACATGCTCTGCAAGCACCCTTTCATACAAGAAAAGATAGCACAAGAAGTTACAGAAGCCTTCAACTGTGAAACCAATGAAACTAACATCGACGAATTCGTCATCTCAAATTTAACCGATGCAGCAATGGAGAAGATGCATTATCTCCACGCAGCATTAACAGAGACTCTGAGGCTATATCCTGCCGTCCCCGTGGTAATTACTAGTTTTTTTCGCTTCAGCCGTGGTAATTACTAGTTAATTAGCTTCTCTAATGTCCCAATCTCTTCGACCCATTTAACAAGCATAACTGATGATCGGTTTGGAAAAAGTAATAACCAGCGTTCAACCTGTCGTTGACGCCTGGCCTGTTGAACCATTGGAACCGTCACTCAGTCTTGATCTGCTGAAATTCCCCATTTCGCCAAACCCTTCAACCGTTGGTTGCACATTTAGTATATATATAAACTTTTGGAAATCATAACAATTGAAGTGATTTTATTTATTTTGAATAAATTTTTGAGGTTGTTGACAGGGCAAGCCCACCCAGAAAAATGACAAAATTACATAACTGTAGGAATAGGGATACCCAAAAAATCATTCTGGAGGAGGGATTTTGATTTATTAGATAATTGGGGAAATTCAATAACAATCACTTTGGCGCCCTAATCAATTTCCCAATTAGCTAGGGAATCTGCTACTCTGTAAATTTTCTATAAACATGAGAAATGACCACATTTGTGTGCCTTAATAATAAAGAAATGGTCAAACCAATGACCCACGACCCGAAACAAAAGCGATTCAGCCTTATATGGTCGATGCTTATAACATTGGTAATAACGTTGGTTGCAGGATGGAAAGTGTTCGGAAGAAGATGATGTCCTTCCAGATGGCTTCAGAGTGAAGAAGGGAGATTCTGTATATTACATTGCTTATGCCATGGGCAGGATGGCAAATCTTTGGGGAGAAGATGCTGAAGATTTCCGACCCGAAAGATGGCTCAAAAACGGGGTTTTCCAACCCGAATCGCCCTTCAAATTTGTAGCATTTCATGTTAGTACTCAGTACTTCTGGCAGCTTAAATGTTTGTATGCAGATGTACACATCTTGTAGGTTTGATTGATAATTTGGTATGGGTTGTTGATGGCAGGCGGGTCCTCGGATCTGTCTAGGGAAGGATTTCGCTTATAGGCAGATGAAGATAGTAGCGATGGTGCTGATTCGATTCTTTCGATTCAGATTGGCGGATGAAAACAAAGCAGTAACGTACAGAACAATGTTCACGCTGCACATCCATGGAGGTCTCCAGCTTGGTGCCATTTCTAGGTTAGGTTTGACAAATTCAGGGATTTAGTCATCTACGCTTTATTCTAATATTTGTATGATAGCTGCACTACTTTTTTATTTTCTACCGACTTTGGTTTTATATGTAAGGCAGATTCAAAAAATCTAAAGATGCTTATAAGGTTGTAACTTGTTGACCAAGGAAACTTTTGTTTTTTTTTTTTTTAATTTTTGGCGATGGAAACGGGAGAATTCTCAATTAGTATCCTGTAATTTGGGCCTAGTGCTATTTTGGTCTCTAAACTTTAAAATGTGACAATTCAATATCCAAAACTTTAAAACATGACAATCTCCGTTAATTAGCTGTTAACCAGTTGTTAAGTAGCATTTGAAAAAGATACAAATGCCTTTTTAAGTGTTATTTAATTTTTTTTATTAACCATCTAAATGTTAACAAAAAATTAGCAGTCCCAAATCCTTGCCTTTTCCATTCAAGAAAGTTGGGGTCACGTTTGAGTGGGCATTCTGGTGACCCCAACTTTCTTGAATAGAAGAGGCAAGGATTTGAGACTTAATTTTTTGTCAATGTTTGGATGGTTGATAAAGAAAATTAGATGACACTCGAAGGGCATTTGTGTCCTTTTCAAATACCACTTAACGGTTGGTTAACAGCTAGTTAACAACAGGTACTAAATTGTCATGTTCTGAAAATTCAAGTACTGAATTGTTGCATTTTAAACTTCGGATACCAAAGTGGCACTAGGCCTAAAGTACAGGGTATTAATTGAGAATTTTTAAATTTTTTTAATTAATTTGGACAAAACATGCAGCCCAAGTATAGCATTCAATATTTTCTTGGCAAAACCCTAGGTCTGAGTTTATACTAATTTGATCCAAAACTAAAAAGATCAAAATCAGATCTATGCAACTAGATAGATACATCATCTGTTTATGTAGTTTTAACAAATAAGTAGTAGTAAATGAAGATACACTTATTTTTTAATTCAAACTTTATAGAGAAATTATTTATTGTCCAATAAAAATTTTATAAGCTAGGAATACCAATTCATACTTTTATAAATAGTATAGATTAATCAATAAAGAACCTTGTGACATTCTAGAGCATTTTATGTTTAGATAGAAAGTGCTCAAAATTTAAAACTAGTCAAGCTTAGAGAGATCAAGCACCAATGACCATATTCTTTCGCCATCAACTAATGACAAAGATAAGCACGCATAGAGGTATTCATCCATAAAACATAAAAATGATCCATCTCATTGAATCACAAATTAAGGCTAAAGCAACATAAAGGGGGCTAAGAAATAATATTTTTGAATTACAAGAACATTTTAAATCATGTGGTTGGCCGATCATTGAGATGTGATTTTATGTTTAGTTTCCATTTGTTTGTCTAAAATTAACAATTTAATATCTATATCTATATCACATAGACAAAAGAGAGGCCAAGATAGGGGTGCAACTCAAGTTGGCCCAAGTGTGCATTTTATGCTGCTTTGGGCTTGGGTCATTCGGCCAGGCTCATTCAAATTCTGACAAAAGCCCAAACTGAATCCACCCAAGTTGCACCTAAGGTCCAAAGTTTCGATACAGTCCAATATGCCAAATTGGATGTATAGGACTTTGTATCAACATTCTTTTATATTTTTTTAGTTTTTTTTTTTCAAAATATGTTCAGGGGGTCGGTTAAAAGGCTTGGTTACCCCCTGAAACAGGTCTTACTCCGAAACTCTTATATTTTGTGTATCAATGATCCACTTATACAATATGTATCGGTCGATACGAGACAAAATTTTGAATTTTATTTGCACCCCTAGGCCAAGTGTCCTCTCACCTCAATGTTCACATGGACCTACTTCTCCTCTCATTTCTCATGTATGTGATTATTTATTTTTAAATTATATTACAAAAATATATAAGAAACATTAAAATCCTCTTATATTTTAATTTTCTCTAATAAAATCCATCAAGTATTCTCTCTAATAAGATAATTTTAAATTCTCTCCCTCCCCCAATATATGACATCCCTCCTTCCCCATTAAATCCATCTTACATTCTTACACCTTTTGACTCTATCCGACAAAATATGGATATAAAATAGATGGATTAAATTGGGACCATTGGGTTAAAGGCCAAGCTAAGACTAATGTTAAATGTGGATCTTGGCCTAGATCCAAACTGATGTTAAAATCCAAATTTGTCAACACAATCCTAACCGAATTTCTATTCAACTGCATGAGTTTATTTAAGGCTGAAATATTCTAGCTTTATCTCTGTACCTGCTTTTTCTCATAATAGAGGTGAAAGCATAATTCAAATATTTCAGCCATGAAATTTTTTATATATCCATTTCACAAAGAAGAAGAAGAAGAAGAAGGAGGCACGCTATACAGTAACTTCTCTATTGAACTAGCAACAGCAATGGAATCCAATCTACCCTATTGACAAAAAGTAGGGGTGGTCATGGTTTGATTAATCAAATTGTGAGCTTGTTTTTGAAACCGAACCAGGGTTACCGGTTTAGGTTTATAATAAAATTGGGGTTACCGGTTTATAATAAAACCAGTAACTAAAACCTAACCGAAGCCGATCGGTTAATCATTGGGTCGGTTCATCGGTTTTTTGGTTTTTTATTATTTACAATATATATTATAGAAATATATATAATAAAACACTAGAAATATATATAAAATATTATATATTATAAATATACATTTATATATATAATGCATATTTATTAATTTATAATGTATAAAATATATATAATATATATGTATACTGGTTGGTTTGGTTAATCATCGGGTTTCTATTTTGATTAACCGATACCTCTAATTTGTTAAAATACCGAACCAACCAGTTTGATTAACCAAATTTTTTATTCAATTTTGATCAACCTTTTTATCAATTTAATTTTTCAATTTTTCTTACTCACCCCTAGGCCCTACTTATTGAGTTTTTAGACACGCTGACTTGGTCAAATATATCTTTTCATATGTATTTAAAAGCTGAGGGAGGGCCTTGGCGCAAGAGTTGGGTTGCTCCATTGCAATCACTAACCAAAGGGTTAAAATCTAAGAAACAACCTCTTTATTTGTGCAGGGGTACGGCTGTATACATTTATCCCTCCTTGGAACTGCATTGGTGGAAATCGGCCTATTGCATTTATATGTATTTATAGCTGTTCTACTGTCTAATATTTATTGTTTTAATACTATTTTTATGTAAGTAGTCTTAAAAGATAATTTGGAAACATTTTAATTTTTATTTAAACAACTCAAACTATTGATGTCAAAGACCCGTGATTCAATCACCAAAACAGCTATATCTATCATCTCAAAATGTGTGACAACAGTGACCACAACCAAAAGAGAATATAAGGAGGTGATATTAGCTATTTAACTTTGGAATTTGGAACAAGGACAACTTGATATCAATAAGATCTTAATTTGCAATAACAGGATATTTTCGGATTTATGAAAATTTTTGAATGTTATGTGATGACCTTTTTAAATAACGTCCAGCTATATCGGAGAGAAGTTTATTTTAACTTCCAAGCAAATATATTTAATAGGGAATGTCCAAAACTAATTTTGGAAAAAGAGCCTATCAAGAAGGTAAAAGAGAAGTTTAAGTAATTTTGTTCTATTTTGTTAAAAAATTTGTGTATCACAGAAGAGTGCAGCTTTCATTGAAAAAAAAAAAAGTTATGAGGGGTGTTATGTCATATCCTAGGGACAGACTTTCTCCATCCACCTTCATATATAAGAGAATCATTCTAGGTTTTATTTTTTTGGTATTTTTATAGTTGCTTATTGAATCAAGGTGATCCAAAAATAAGATGAAAGATTTGAAGCCTTATATTTTTCTTAGGGCTTTAGTTTGGTGTAGATATATTTCAGGCCTCATTTGGTTCGCAGGAATAGGGGTCTGGAATTAGAATTGTAATGGGTTATTTCGATTCCAATTATTTGGTCGAATGGAATTGAAATCCCATTCTCATTCCTATTGGAATGGCATTCCCCCATTTGAGGGAATGGTCATTTCCTGTTCCTTTTTTGGGAATGAAATCTCATTCCTGTTGATTTTAATTCTCATTCCCATTCCTGTCTGAACCAAACTGACTATAGGAATAGGCCATTCCGATTCCAATTCCGACTATGAACCAAATGGGCTCTTGCTAATTTTGCATGTCTATTGGCTATACATTTCAGTTGGGGTATTATTCCTTACTCTTTGCCATCTCCTCACATAGCCCATTATGAATCCATTCGATCTCTTCAACCAAAACTTCAGGCGACCCTCTCACAGAAAACTCTTGAACTATGTCATTGACTTCAATCATACTACAACCATGCATTGTCTTCTTGATCATCCCTCTTTCTTTCATAAAGGCTCTAGTTCTCTTCAAGCAACCAAGCAATCAGACCGCTTTGAAACTTTCCCAAGAATGAAGTAACGCATCCATAATCTAATGATTCGACTAGTTATAATTTCACAATTTTTAGTCTATTTGCCTTACTTGACATAGAACAATGTTGGAGCATTGGTAGTGGTAGAGTATATATGTTTATTTGTTGAGGATCATGTACCTGTAGTTGAATACTATGTCCTAGAAGCTCTCAAAATAGCCTAAGTTAAGGTTTTAGTTAGAGGCGCTCTCCTTCACTTTCCTCTTCTTACTCTCTCTCTCTCTCTCTCTCTCTCTCTCTCTCTTTGTGTTTTGAAAGAGGCTTAGTCTTCCTCTTGAGATTTCTCAAGGTTTTGTTTTCTGTTTGTGGCTTGAATTTGTTTGCAGTTCTCCGACAGATGTTGTTCAATGTGAGTTCCATTCGTAGTTTTTCCGTCGATGGCAGTCGTTTGGAATTCTACTTGCAAATTCGCTCGCCGTATGTGGTGGGTTGGAGATGTGCTTTTCTACTTCTGTTGGTGACGTTTATTCACCTTTATTTGGTTGCAGAAGTTATTTATGTTCTCCTTCATCAAGTTCTATATTTTGTTCTCTTGAGAAATTGTTTCTGAGTTTTTCTGATTGGCCTTTTCAGCATTTTTTGTATCAATTTCCTGATTGAATGAAATATGACGCCTATGGGCGATTTCAAAAAAAGAATACTATGTCCCGGTAGTTGACTATTATCAATAAATTGGTCCAAGTAGTCGGCTGTTATGTCCAAGTAGTCGATTACTATC